CAGAAAGCTCTCTATGGAGCTTCTGGAGAAGGTGGGGAGGATGGGGGGGGCAGGTGGGCTGGGTTGCTGTTTAAAGAAACAGAGGATTTCCTCCTGAATAAGGCTGGAAGATAAGAAATGTGGAAGACGTGCAGCACTGCGAAAACTGTCCAGGTTATCAGTAAGGTTATGTTTTTTTTTCTTCTTCTTCTGGAGGAGAATTGATTAGAATTAAAGCAGTGAAAGGAGCTGATGGTTCCTCCTTGATCACAACATTAAATGGAACCAGAGCAGAACTAGTAAGGTTTTAATCAAACAGAGTTTGATGCAGAGATCTGTCGATAAATCTAGAAGCTTCCTGATGTTTCTCTGTTTCATCTGATTTTCTAAGTATGGCTGTTTCTCTCTCCTTCCACCTTAACTCAATTTAGAGCCGACACGTATAATTCAGGCTCCCACGCCTCAGTCAGCTGTGAGGGGTTCTACAGCAGCCTTCCACTGTAAGGCGGTCTCTGACTCCACCCTGCCCACCAAGGTGAGCTGGACAAAGGATGGAGAGCCTCTGAATCCAAGATGGAGGTATGACACGTGATCTTTTTTAAGGTGAAAGTAGAATCAGAAGAGCTTTGGTTTCTGTGCTCGATGACAAACATGCTGCTACATAAATAACATCTTTTTTTTTTTTTTTTTTTAAGGGTAAAGATTGATAAAGATTCCCTGACCATCTCCAGTGTCAGTGAGGAAGATGAGGGATTGTACACCTGCATCGCTCAAACTGAGATAGACCAGGACGCCGCCTCAGCCCGCCTCACCGTCTTAGGTACAGCAGCACTCAGAACTGAGCTGCAAGTAGTGATGTAACCAGGCAGAAATATGGGACACAAACACAGCCCTCCATGGTGACTGGAAATAACCGGATGCTGCGACATCACCTGCCGAAACTAAGCTAACAGGAAATCAATATGGAGGTTCTCCTGATGCAAACTATCTGCAAAACTTATAGTGAAAACGACTCAACTGGGAAAATCCAAAAACCAGCCCTGCAGACGGGTTTAATGTAGCGCAGATGTGACATACGTGGGGTCTCCTTTTATTTTACATTAAGCTGAGTAACGTTCATGGATGGTGTCATGAAAGATCGCTGCTGAAATTCTGGACTAAGAAAGAAAAATGCTGCAATATTCCCTTTAACAGCTTCTTTAAGATAACAGACATTCATTAAAGGGCTGCAACTAACTATTATTTGCTTATTGATTAATCTGTCTATTATTTTTTCAATAAATCAATTAATAATCGAACAGCACAAGGTTCTATATAGAAGATTTTTTACAGATTTAAACCAGATGGAACTACAACTTTTCCACTTGAGAAGTTCTGGATAGTAAGACAGTATTAGGGCCACTAGAGATTATTTTTTC